TACTGTTGAAGGGAGGAGTGCTAATTTCATTATCTTACATCAGTCAGATTGCGAAGACAGATGTGAAAAGGGAGTTGATTGCGTACCGAGGTTCTATGGAATGTTCTTTTGTAGGAAGCATTCTATTTTTCTTCAGTTTATTTCTTAATATTATCAATACTTATATTATTTTATTCACCTCTTTCTTAAATTAAAAAAGGCTGGTGGAAAACATATACTACCAGAATACAAAAAAAAGTTTGTCAATAATTCATTAATTAAAGAAACCACAAAATAAAGTACGTTATTAATATACATTTTTCTGACATTTTCGACGAACTGATTCAGGAATAAGATGAATATTTGACAGGAAACAATAATTTATTACGTTTGCAAAATCACGGTTCCGAGTACACATTTATCTCGAACATAAGGGTTGTCGTCAAATTGGACTTAATTTAAACACTTATGAAGAAAATTACATGTAAAAATAATTAAAATTTACCAAAAGTTATGTTAATTAATGATAATGTCTCAACATTAATTAACATTTTCCAAAAGTTACGTTTCAAAACACAAGACTACCGAAATTCCTAGTCACCATGCCATGTTTACATTTGTGCTAACCTAATAAGCAAAAACTCTCATCGTCAAAGTGGTTAATGACTAATGTGCGAGTTTAAAGAGTGGATTAATTTAAATCGGACATGTGGGGCCGTTGTTGATGATGATTGATTCGTTTATGACGACTCAATTGCCCCCTGACTACGCAACCCGCCGCACAGTTAAGAATTAAGTGTATTCACTTTAAACAAGTATTCTTCCCCTGCGATTGTAAAATATCAGCCGGAATTATTACTTGCATCTCGGGCAAGTAAATCAAAGTTCTTCCAGCGAACGCATGCCCAAATTTCAGGGATAACGTTTTAACAATAGAATAATTGTTAGCCAGGTACAAATAAGGTCATTGAACAAACTCGCGAGAAAGACTTTCATCTATAAGAAGTTTTGCACATCGTAGCGTAAAACGTAATTAGCAATCACGTGCCCAGTAGAATGTATGTTTAATACACTGCGATACTAAAACATTGCCTGGTCAACTAATTTTTAATAAATGCCGCAAATCGTGAGCCTCCTCCTCACTGTGCGTGGCGCAGACCTCGTCCACACAGCCACTGCCGCCACTCCCATCATCGCCACCGCCATCGTCCTCGCCGTCGCCGTCGCCCCCGGTTCGCTTTCAGGCTCCACTCTAGCGAGCAGAACAATACTTGCGCCGCTGGGCACATAATGCACTCTGAATGGTAGCGCGCGGAGTTGCGTTTTATGACACGCCGCTGAGACTCGCACGGATATCCGAATGTGCCCAACTTCTGTCGAAAATGAGCGGATGTTCAGGCGTCTGACACTCCGCGCCGCCTTACTGGGAGTCGATGAAAACAGACGAGCAGAAGCGGCATGCAGCTCGAAAATGTCAGATGGAAATTGATCATGCATGTCCTATATTAATAATTCGCTTTGAATATTTGTATCTATCTACTACAGAGAGGTCTAAAAATGTATTCACTCGGTGAGCACTTCAGATTCATTAACGTTGTTTAGCTGCTGGGGGTCACTTTGAACACACGTAATCGAAAGAACATGTAACAAAACATTAAAATGAAATAGAAAGCATGAATCACAGCCGAATGTCTCACTATTCCAAATACATCCACTGTCAAAGAGTGTATACAATTTTTGAATCCATCTGTATATACAAAGAAATCGCAATATAATAGAAATCAAATAATTTCCCTTAAACTACTTTTTGTATTTTCAATACAATGATATAACGTTAATTAGAATTTTAATTTGTGGTGACCAAAGCGTGTAAGCGTAAGGTTCTATCGAATATCTCTTGTTTGTCCTACCTCTGATTGCACCATTGCTCCATTGTCATTCATCAATTTCAACACTCACCCATAAATTCATCACCTCATCTCTTCCGGTGTAGACCGGAAGACGTCGATATAGGAATGATAATTTAGTAGTTAGAGTTGGATTGTGATTGCGGGGGTGGTTCATGGTAATTGTGATGGTACGATATATCCCTAAATAACGACTTCAGATATGTACCACCATAACTCAAAAATCGTCGTTTTCCACATGTGTTTGAAGATTTTCCTTCCTTATAATGGCAAATAGTTTGAAATTAATTTTACATATACACATTTTGATCCGTAACCTCCAATTTGATGTAAATGCAGTTGAATGCAATAAATTTAACAACATCGAAGAATTACTACGCAAACAAGAAATGGCGCGATTTGAATTGTGAAGGTGCGGTGTGATTAGCGAAATGATGGTCGCTAACGACCTAGTTCTGTGACAAAATATAAAGATAGTGGAGATATAAAATATGTCACAACATGAATTGCATAATTTGTGTACTTTGTCAAGCAGTTATGTGTTCTTTGCTATTCGAATTTAGAAGCGAGATAGTACTGTACAAATCGTCAGGTACCACAGAGAATAACGATTCTTAATTTTTCAAGCAAATGGATTCATAAAAGGGTGGAAACGCATTTATTCAATACTTTTACGTTCAAGAGAAAATGCAAAACTTTGATTTGCATTTCTGTCTATTGCAAAATTATTACTTTGGATATTCATTAGAATATTATATTATTTTCTAGGTATATTCAGTAACATCCTCTGGTGCTTTAAAAGTAATTTGTGTGGAACTATTTATTAAAAAGAGGAAATCATTAAAAATGCATCGAAGCATTGTATAACACTTGAGAAGATACAAACACTCTTTGCACAATTTTCACATCGAAAAAGTGAAGTCTAATCGGCAAATGTAGCAATGACCATAATATTATGAAATTTCAATAGCCGTTTTGCCATTTCATCAAAAAGGAAACAAAGTGAGTAGATACTAAGTAAACCAAACACTGCCTTAAATTGGTAATGAAAATAAAACGGATAGTGAAATGAAAAATAGAATACGAAAGAATAATATTAGTGTGCCAATAGTACTGGTCAGATGTTCCGTAACATTTTGTTTCGTCATTTTATGATGTCCATGTATGAACAATTTCCTCTACAAATGGTTTAAATCTTACTGTTAGTTTATAACCTTTGGCTCATCGTCCGTTAACCGAGCATTAAATATTTCCGTCGTCCATATTTCCATATAAAAGAGTTTTTTAAATAATACTTGACTAATGAATCAGTAGGGAGATGACGGAACATTTCATATATTCCGAAAACTTAAATATTTATAGATTTACTAGAGCCAGCAGTTCCTCGGTGAGCAGGCGGAATCTTTCTACTCGCAACGAGATGGGCGAGGTGTTGTGAAGCGTATGAAAGGGGGACGCGACTGGCTGGAAATAACAAGGAAGAGGATTAGCGGCAGTCGACAGCGGAAGCCCACTAATCGCAAAGGTCGGTGAGGGCCGGGAGGGGGGGGGCGAGCAGAAAAGCGCGGGGCGGAGGCAAGGAGGACGGAGACCGAAATGGAGACAAGGACGGGGCGTCGAAAAGCGCGCACTCCGGCGCATCTGGGGGGTCAGACAAGAAGAAAAGCAACGAGGAAAATGTGAGGACAAAAACAAAGAGTCTCGAAGAGGGGGATGTCCACGTAAAGACAATCAGAAAAACGGTCTTCTTCAAGAGAAGAGATCCCGGGACACCAGCAACCCTCACAATCAAGGTTTGCAATTTCGAACGCGGTCAGTTTAAACCAAAGGCAACTGGAGAGCAAAGAGTTAAAGAGTCGGCAACCTGGAGAGCAAACAGTCTGGAGAGTTAACAACACAGAGCGGAAGCAACGCAGGAAACGAAAAATTCGAAAAGCTCCCGAAGCTGAGTCGTATAATATTCTACTTGTACAGGTCGCATTGAAGGTAAGAAAAAAAGTGGCGAGACTGTAAAAAGAGGCGCCATGGAGGTGGACCAAGGAGAACGAACAGCTAGGCGGAAGTAGAGAACGAAGGATTCGACGGCGCGAATGAGGTACGGAAGCAGGAAGCGGAAGCGGGGCGACGGCGGGCGGGCGGCAGGCGGGGCGACGGCGAGCAAGGCAGGGCAGGGAGGGCAAAACACAGGGACCGGCATGAGAAGAGGAGGGGCTGAAAAGGGGCGCGCGGTGGCCGCGTTCGGAGTTTGGGTGGACCGGAACGGGACGGGACGGGACGGGACGGGACGGACGGACGGGACGGACGGACGGGACGGCGACGGGCGGGACGGACGGGACGGACGGCGGCGGGCGGGGCGGGGCGGGAGCGGAGGGCGGACGGTGGGGCGAAGCAGGGCGAGGCGAGGCCCGGGCCGCGTCGGGTCAATTGGGCGGTCCGGGATGCGCCGGGCCGCGTAGCAAGTGTCGATGGCTGAGCACGGCAGTCGGGCGAAGGCAAAGAAAGACGAGGCGTCGGGGCGCGGCATTATCTGCCGCGCAAAGCCGGGGTTGCTGCCGATCTCGAGGCCGATCCATTTCCATAAACCCTCTGTTGTTTTTTTTAACGGCGTCGAATGAGCGATCCATCGGCGCGCACCCCGACGCCGGGGGCCGAGGCGCGCGGCGCCGCCCGAGCCAACGCCGCTTCTTGCGTCCCGCCGCCCCGCCTCCGCCGCACGCCCCCGCCGCCGCCGAGGCGAGGCTCTTTACCCCTTCGCCCGCGCCCGCTCGTTCGGCCCTCTTTAAGCTAGGAGCCGGCAACTTCCTAGTCGACCGCAAACTGCGATTGGACCATTTATAGAAGTCGGAATACGAGAATACGGTGCGAAAAAGGAGAAATGAGGTTCTGGGAAGAAAAAAGCAGGTCAGTACCATTTCCAACAACATTAGGCTTAAGGCAGAGTCTGTTTTGGGGGAGATATAGAAACGGATTCTAAAAAGAAAACCACCACGAAAATTAAAAGTAAGTTTATACACTTGACGATTGCTGTTATTTTAGATATATTACTAACAGAATACGATTCATTCTTTCAGCTTTATATTTATATTACATTTTCTCACCGTTTAAAATGTAAATGGAAATGTTCTATAAAAAACGCATTTTACTTATTCTTGTGATGATCGCTATAGAAAGATAATAGAAAGTTTGTTTACACTTTTCTTCATTTGAGAAAGTGTAAATAGTAAACTATTTACCATTATTCATCAATGTTCCTTACTTACATACGTACATTCCCAAATTTACTTGTCCATTAGTTTAATTCACCTTATCTGGTCATCTTAAACAGTTGGAGAAATGAAAAAGAAGTCTTGGTTCTTGAATACAGCTTGAGAATGAAGTGTCACTGTAGGCGAGAGTTACATATAAAATTAAAATGAATCGAAACAAGTACCCTCATTACCATAAAAGTACTCTAATTTCCTAAGTGTGAAGCTGCAATAGTTGGTTCGATTGCACAATGACGCCCAGAGATTACTGGACCTAATTTTACAGCTGCTGGTCAAATGGCTTTGCATTGCATTACAATTATAGTTCAGTCCACCATAATATTCTAAAGTGATCATAAAAAAGATGTAGAATTGTATAAAGCTGTTTAATATTAAACTTTGCAATGGTTTATTAGTGCAAAATTTGTCTGCCATAATTAATGTTTGGGAAGTTAGTTACGTGATGTTTTTAAATTGTACACAATATTATTTTACTGTTTGGTGTGCTAATTAACACAAGAACGAATCATACAATTTTCTTTCATATCAACACTGTCAACATTCTGAGATCACTTTATCTAAGATGGAATTCATATAAAATTATAAAAAGTAAGGTATAAAAGTTGTTACTAAAACGGAAAAGAGAGAAGAATTGAAACTGAGAAAACTAAAACACAGTAGAGCCACCAAGTACATGCAAACACTGACCTCGCTGAAAATTGAAAAATGCATACAATCTTGTTAGGTACAATGCTAAAGTTCATACTTGCGGGCCATGTCAGCAACTGTAAAGAACTGAAATGCATCTACGTATTCATACTTCATGACGAGGGTCAGGGCGTGGCAGAAAGGCAACGCCACATAGATTAGACAGATGGAGCAGAGGAGATGAAGATGAGGACGGCAAGGCAGGACGGACAAAGGGGAGGTAAAGAAACATAATTACCGTTGTAAACAGTAAATATATTACTGATAGGAAATTACTATTTTTTATTCCCATCAATATATTGTTATAAATATTAGAGAATTGCTTACTTTCTACCATGGAATTCATGGCCTTGTGTAGCTTTTAATGTATATTGGAGTAATCTCGGAAAATATCTTTCCTCACGATATAAAATACAAATTTTTAAAATCTATTTTATGGTTACGATCCAAACTATATTAAGAAAGTTTTTTTTTTCTCTTTAAGGGTTCTCTTATCTGTTATTATGTTCTCTTAAAGTTGTACTACTTCTTCTTTAGTCAGACGTTAATATTTATGGTTGCATATATTTGTATGAAATAAATTATACTTTCTAATTGTGTTTTATCTATCTTGCCCTTAATAGTGTTCACTACTTGTTCCTTATTCAATGACAATTTAAGGGAAAGACGAAATTTAATTTAACTTACAAATTTTCCCATTATTTATTTATAACATTAGAGGATACATATTTATATATATTACATACTATATTGAAATTCCAATTTTGAAAGGTTAATTTTGTCACTGTATACAAAATTATAAATTATCCCAACTGTTTGTTTAAATGCTTACACTCATTGTTTAGTGTTATGCACGTGCGTGTTTTCATTATTTGTCATTCTGAGAGTCTCGCCATGTAAGAACTAATCGCGGTTATACACTATGACGTAAATTGTTTCTTGTATTTTCTGAGCCTTTGAACATGGAATTTTCTATTCATGACGTTTTGTCTTCTCATCATGTAGTAGGGATAAATTAAATTGTTTCCTAAATTAACGGTCTTAGATCAACAAATATTGAGAGAACATGTGTTGTTGAAGCACTACTAGTTTAATCATAAGTTACTAACGCGTTTCAACATATTGGAGGTATAGCGCGGCTACAACGTATTTACGTAGGAAGAAAAGGGCAAACCCGGTCGCAGTCCACATGTCTTCCGCGTCTGGCTCTGTGATTAGTTATTAGGGTCGCCCCGCTTTGTCGGCAGGCAGCAAGATTCGCTTGGCCGCCACCCGCCGCGCCACTGGCGCCTCCGAGCGCCGCTTCTTCCGAGGGATTGCCTACTCGCGGGCGAACGGCTTGCCAGCGGAGGTGCTTAACGCACTTTATTATTCATTCTCTGCACTGGCGTTTCTCGCCCACTCTACATTAAGATCTATCTCGAATAAGAGCGGGAAGGGCCGGATCTTCCCTTTTCCCTTCTAGAAGAAAAGGGCAGGTAAAGGTTAAAGCGGGAAAACGGAACAAGCGGGCGTGTCGGAGAAAGACATGCGGAACCAGCGATTTTTGAAACACAAATGGCTAGTTAGAGCTGAAATTTAAATTTATTATTCATGCACAACGATCTTCGTTGTTTAGCTTAAGCACATGAAGGTTATCTGAATTTTTAATATCAAGGAACCCATTAGCCTTTTGTGCTTACATTCATGTAGTTTAAGTGCATTTATGAATACATTTTAATTTCTGTTTTAATGCAGTAGTTAAGTGGAACGTTAGTTCAATGTCTTTGTCTAATAATAAAGCAAAGCGCTAGTATGTCGTTTTCGTTTCTAATACCTAACCTCGCTCGATCTCCGTTTCAAATTACTAATTACTAATCTAAATCTAACCTATTGCTAAGCAACGGCCACGCAAACCTGATGGTTTAAATTTCAGTTGAATACAGAACTCAATGATTTGTATTGGGAAACGGCGAAAAGCTACCAACCGACAACTTTCTATTTTTAGTTAAATAAGATTCATTATTTGAAACGAACAAATTGATGCGGTTCCGTTATTGTAATTAAATGATAAATATTTGTTTTTATTAGCAGTCTGGATATTATTTGATGTTTTTTCACAAGAACCAAACTATTCCAAATTCGTGATTTTTCAGGAAGCACAAAAAACTTCATACCATAGACGCGTATGATTATGAGTTGAATATTTTCCCCTGCCTTATATCTTTCATTGAGTTTGGCAACTATTGAAAGGAAATGTTCCAGCAGATAGTGCGAGTTGTAGGGAATAACTTTTTGTTATTCCCTACAACGAGTTGTATTCCCCCTTGTGCGAGTTGTAGGGAATCACCTAAAATTTATTTGTACGACTAATAATATATTAAAACACGCAAGAAACAAAATTAGTTTTTGGCAATTTTCTCCATCATCAGTAGGTTTAGAGCAACTTTGAACATTTCTGAATATACATTTTAAATTAAAAGAATAAAATAGTTACAATAACTATGATACTAAAACCGAAAAAAGTATAATATAAAATAATTCTTACTACTCGGGTAATGTCGATAGCCCTTATACTACACATAAGAAAGAGAAATAAACTAGTGGTGCTACAGAAAGGCACAAACTTTCACGTATTAGTTTTCTATTACCTTTGGTCTCGGTTATGTATTCAAACTTGCAACATATTCTTGTCTACATCTATCACCACCCAAAGTACATTTTTTTACATTTTCCTAATTTTTCGGTTTCCTCATTTTACAGTATTTTAGAGCTTTCGATTATTAAAGAACAGTGAAACATTTTTGAAAAACAAAAAATACACCGAAATTAACTTTACGACATATTAAAGAGTGCAATTACACTATCCGTTCGACGTGATTAAAAAAAATTGGAGCTTGGGCTTTTCTAATAATGAGTTTTGAACCAGTTTTCAGAGAAAACGGTAGAGTTTTCAGAAAATTTATCTGACATTATTTAAAGCACATGTATTCATAAATATAATAATCTGAAAAATTGTTGCTAATATAAATATTAATGACAAGAGAGGCTAGTCAAAAAATTATATTTTTATAATTTTTGAGAAAAACAAAAGTATAGAGCAATATCGCGTTTATGCCATCTTATATAGTACATTTTGCACTATCTCTTTCACAAGTTTTAAGAAAAAATGAGAGCCGTTTTTGAGAAAATCTTTTTGTAATTATTTTAAATTCCACATATTGTGCGCAATACCCGTGAAAACCACTAATATTTTCAGAAAAAGTACACGACCTTAATGAAAGAACTTACTTTGGAGAACAAATTTTATTTGAAGGAAAGATTGCTATTTTTATTTTTGTTGTTGTAGGAAGACGACGCATCAAATCCATACTTTTAATTTTCGAAAATTCAGAGCTAACCGCATACAAAATTTATAAATCTATGTTACTTTTATTTTTACAAGAAATTTAAAAAAAAAGTTGAAGCAGTTTTCGAAAAAAAATTGAAAATGTCTGGGGGACTTAAATGTAAAATACCCCAAAATTTTAATTTTTTTTCGAAGTCTCAAGTATTCGTCACCAGCCAGATCGAAACTAGTTTCTTCAATTTGGAAAAAAACTACACCAACAAGCTTTTATTAATCTACAAACTGAATATAGTTCTCATAATTTTTAAAATTCAATAAAATACATGTTTTCGAATTGAACATTTTTTTAAATTTTAGAAACAAATATTGATGAAAGGATGCCTGAACACTTCAGCCAGATATTCCAGTTTGCAATATTCATCATACATTCTGCTTTGTTACATATGACAAGAAATGACTTAGTAGGACTAAGGATTCAGGCACTTCACTCTCCCAAATGTTCAAATGTTGTGTGATTTTCCTCCCACAATCTACCTCCACGCAATCTGAAATTTATTTTATTAAGAAATAGTAAACTCAAGGTATTTTACAAGAGTGGTCTTCTGTTTTTCACTAACTGGTTAAGATGCTTAAAGCTTTGATCGTAAATATCACAACTACATTTTTCCAGAACTCCATTACGAGAACCTTCTACGCAAAGAGAAACCTCCTTCAGTGTCCATATTAAAATAAGTTACTCAGTGTCCATAATAAAAAAAGATATTCTCAATCAAAATTATTCGAATGCGTTTGAATTTTCAGCAGTGAGACATTCCATGAATACATTTTATATGTTGAAATCCATTCATCTGAAATTTTTAATGAAAAAAATCATGTTTGAAATATCCAATGAAATTTAAAGTTATCAAAGTCAGTGCATAGTTATTTTCTTCATATAATAGAGCGAACGTGAATTTTAATACTCCACATGTATTCAGCATAATGAAAGTAATAAAATAATTTTATGGATGGTGGCTGGATTCATATTTAATCCCTAGAGATTAACAAAATGCTCTCAAACAATGAATATATGGTAGTATAAAAATAAACATGGTGTTTTTG